CAGGTCCCATTCATCTGTCACTGCTCGAGAATACTGATGCGTATTAAGGCGGAAGCTTGACGTGGCACCATGCCCGATCCCTATGGAGAGAATGGGCGCGCAGCTTTCCCTAGTCACGTGCCCTGGGAAGACATGGTGACGCGTCAGAAAGACCCGCGTGGACGCGTTGCGATGGGTGTGTGTGGTCAGACCATTAGATGTCTCATCAAACGCGGAAATTGACAGTCGGCATCGGTGGTCTAAACATGAGTGGTGCAGCAAATCCTCGCGTGGTAACGTCAACTCCTGACGACGTCATGAAGTCGCATATCGCCAAAGTTTGTGACGCCATCATGATGAAACATGACGTGTCGTAACATGATGACGTCATCGCATGACGTCGTCGCTTGTTCAACGGTAGGATAATCACGCAGGCAGTGCAAAACCAGGGGAGGAACAGAAAGCGTTCGGATGTTGTGTCTTCGTCAGATAGTCAATCTACAAATACAAGAAGAAAACACAAGAAAACCAACACATCTTGAATTAAGGACCTCGAAAGTAGCTACACCACGTAGCTGTTGACTCTCGCAGACCACCCCAGGGTATCTGATGACTTGAGACAAGTGGAATCGACAGAAAAAAAAAGATGTTTAGTGGTGGGCGTCACAGCACATGCAGGTAATACCCCCTTTAGACGATAATGAAGGTCCCCGTGTTTCCTACCTTTCCCAATTATATGCCATCACTTTCCCGTTACAAGTACACAGGTGCAAGCGACCTTGCACCTGTGTACTTGTTTCTACCGAGCACGGCCGTGACTTCACCCCTTCTTTGGCAGTGCGACGTGTGCCCTGAGGTATGTACCATATTTCGGTTGGAACCCCATTTGGATGCAAACTCCTTGTTTACTCACTAGCGCCATGTGAGTGGACATCTCTAGACGTACGAAAAAACCTGTGGCTCCTTGGCAGGAGAGGGTATTGGATTCATGACCTCCAGCATAGGAGGCGGACGCTCAATCATTTATTGTCTTTGTGGTAGTTGTCACAAACCATCCGTTGTTTCGAGTGAAGCTGGTTGTATTGTCTAGCCCGTTGTTTTATTGGTGCCGTATTGTATTGGATTATTGCCGAGTGTGCGTGTGTGTGCGTTGTCTGTTCTGCCGTATTTGAGAATATAATTTTTTTTTTGTCTTGTCAAACGCTCGGCTCTGACTCGTTCTTTGGACCCCAGCCAGCGGTCGCTGGCACGCCAAATAGGAGCACATCTAAATTGTTCTGGTGATTTCGTAGTGCAGATCGGGGGTCCGAAACTTTGGTCTTCGGAATTAGCCCGGCGATTGCCTTCCTAATTAGCGGGACCAGTGACAGTAGCGGAAAGGAACGAAAAAAGAAAGACTACCAGTCCCCAATGACGTCGCTTTGCGTTCCAGCGTGTAAGGGTTTGAGAGACATCGATCTACCCTCCAGGTAAATTATATACTAACACTGCAGTGACCCTAAAGGAATCAACTGCCAGCCTGGACCACCTCCTCGAATCATCCTATTGCTAAAGCACAACAGAGCAAGAACACCACCTAGTAATAATAATAATAATAATAATAATAATAATAATAATAATAATAATAATAATAATAATAATAATAATAATAATAATAATAATAATAATAATAATAATATATAATAATAATAATAATAATGAGCCATTACGTCGCAAAACCATACTTTGATTAATCATGCCGTAGTCGAGGGTCTGCAGGAATTTTCACCTGGTGTTTAACGTCCGCCTAAGTCTGAGTACAATGGCATCGCCTATAGCATTGCGCCACTTTCGAAGCACAGCTGCCGCGGCCGGCATTCGAACTCACGACCTTCAGGTTGGCAGACGAGTGCCGTAAGCACTGGACCACCACAACTGGGTGCCACCACCGTCGCAACTTCTTAATGCGCATTGGTTGAACGAATGCGCACTAAAATATTGCAGACTTAGGCACTAAATAATCTATATTTAGGCGCTTTCAGTCTGAGCCAAACTGAGACCTTTTAAACGACTATCTAACGTTATTTCTTTGTTGCGACTAATGAAACTGATTTAAAAGCTAAGAGCAACTAACGAAGTGTCTCTACTTAGCGCGTCCTTTCGCGAGGATTGCTGGCAATTCAATTCACAAATAAAAAAAAAGGAAGGAGAAGGAGGAGGTTGGATGTTCGTAAATAGAAAAGGCAGAACTCGGTCGAAGTGATGAATTGCATGCGGCACGTCATGACGTGAATGTTGCTGATAATTACAAATGTCGAGCTATGTGGCGCTGACCTAAGCACTTTTGGCTTCATGGCCTGAGTACTTTGGCGCAGGTATCACTTACGACCCCAAAATAATTGGAATGTTACGATGCGGAACATTTATGAACATTATTTGAATACATCTTTTTTCAGTGTGTACTGACAGAATCTTCGATGTTCTATGTCATTCCCTGAAACGCAACGTATCTATCCTTCAATTAAATTTAGCTTTATTTCAGGTGTTCACCAAGGAGTGGCAAATTACTTCAAAATAAACTTGAATGAACTTGCTTACACTTCATTTATGACTTGAGGTAGAATTTAATGTTGGTATGTAGGAGCACAAAACAGACAAAAATACAAGAGATAGATTAGACAAACGAGTATTCACTTCAAACTTAAGCTTTTTTTTGCAGAAATTGGCCAGGTCTTATCTTACACCGAACATGGAAACGCATCCGGCTCCACATTCGGTGTATAAGATAAAACCTGGCCAGTTTTTTGTGAATCAACTTTAGTGAAGGGAGCGCTTGTTTGTGTAACCTGTCTCGTGTATCTCGTCTGTTTCGCGTTTTTAAATACCATCATGGATCAGCACAAACTTGATCAAATATCTATGCTTTTAAACGTAGAATTATTTCACACAAGAACCCAAGCCAAGATGGTTATGACGAATTGAACTTGGGTTCATTCTGTTTGCGTGCATGCATTCGCGTATCTTCTTAGAGGGAGGGTAATGAAATGGAATGAAAGAAACGATTTAAAGAAGGTTAACGGTGTCTTCACAACATGAAATTAGAACAAATAGTCAATTACTTCAAGTTCGCAACATTCAAATTGGTATTTGCTATTCAGCAAGAACAAGCTATATACTTACCGCTACCCTAAAGACATCACAACTGAGAAAACAATTGTCTTCATGGGGAAATGCAATAAAGAAAAAATAAAGAAATAAATTAAAATAAATACTTGACAACTGGTGCCCACGTCAGTGGCATATGTGTTTCTAGATAGCACCCACGAGCGCAGCTAAAGAATGACGACCGCAGCCAGTGGTGACGTCACTATTTTTGTTGTTGCTGTTGTTTTGCTGCAGCTGCGGAAAATTCCACCCTTTGTACCTTTGAAATTCGCACTGAAGCACTTCTTAGGTGCCCTGCTGGCTGCCGCGCTGCGCCGCTGAGCACCAGGGCGTGGGTTCGATTCCCGGCATTGGCGGCCGTATTTAGACGAGGGTGAAGTGCAAAAGCTTTTGCACAGTTACATTTATGAGCACGTTGAAATGCTGCAGCTGAATCAAGTAAAGCTGTAGTTCCTTTCTGCGGTGTATTTAAATCTCATATTCTGGTTGTGAGATTTAAATACACCGCAGAAACACCACGTGAGACCGAATCAATTTTGCTCACTTGATAAACTTGGCTAGTTTGCGACGGGTAGCTTAAGTTTTACCTGTTCTCAATTAAATCTATTTATGAACATTTTACTCGCATAGGTACGCCCTATATTCAGGAAAATAACAAATAAAAGCATTAATTGTGTCAATATCTTTGATCATACATTAATTCAAATGCTATTGAACTATTTAGAATAACTCGCGGGTGAATGAGATGTTACATAATGACTTCACAAACTACGATGTATGTGAAGCAATAAACAAAAAAAAAAGAGGACATGTATACGAGACGGACTAGCGCTGTTTACCCGTTGTATATGCGTCTTCACACTGTCTTAATTTTTTTTTTTGCAGCACATATATCAAGAAACGGCACGTAGTAATATTAGGCGGACTTTTACATATCACCGGAAAACAATGCACCACACTGCCACTCAAGATACCGATAGCGCCTCGCTCTCTTTTCGCGCGCGCGGCTTTCTCACTCGCTCTTCGCGCTTGTTGACGGCGCTGGAGCGAGAGAGAGGAGAGAAGCGCGCGCGGTCTCTTCGCTCCGAGCCGCCACCAGGCAGGCCGCCGCGTGGTCCCGCCCGACTCCCGAGCGCGCCAGCGAAAAAACCAGTCCATCGTCGGCAACGGTCGACGCTGCTTCGCTCATCGGCGCTCCTTGTGAGGCACAGCAGCCGTGTGCGCGCGTTTTTGAATCCCCGCCGTGCATGCTGGGACGCTTTGGCCCGTGCACCGGACCGAAGGAGACGCTCGTTCTCCGCTTGGACGACGACACCTGCGTGCTGTGCGCCGCGATTCTGCGCTGAACACGGCGTCGTCTCCGGGAGTCGGGAGGCGTGACTTCTCGCGCGCTTGTGCGGAGTCCGCGCCCACATCTGCGCGTCGTCCCGCGTCGGGTCACCGCCGCTCGCTGCCTGGATGACCGGCACGACACGACCGACGAAAGTGGCAGTGATGGTAGCGCGTTACTGTTACTCCTAGAAATCTTTTTCCCGCGGACCATTTCTGTAAGAAAGTTCCCGGTTTCGCCCGTGGACAAGAAATACCCGAGGTGTACAGTGATAATTGGGTTCGGTTAGCGTCGACTTTCCTAGCAAAGAAAAAACGCTTCTCGTCAGTGTGTTGTTCTCCATCGGCCCCTGCAAGACCGGCGGCTGTGATTTCGCTTGACGGGTTCGATCCCTAAGTGACCGCGCAGTGTTCGCGGTGTTGTTGCTCTCGACAGCGGTGGAGGACGAAGAGACCACGGAGTCGTCTGCGGAGACCTGCCCCGGGAAATAAGTGCTCCTCGCCGTGCTTGTGTGCTTCGGTTTCTTCCCCCTGTCGCTTGTTATTCGTGCCCCCCCCCCCCCCCCTCCTTTTGTTTTTGGCTGTGCGCTTCAGTCCCGGAGGCCGCCAAAACATGAGTGTCGTTCAACGCCAGCGTCCTGCGGGCCTGTGGATACCGTTCGCCCTCGTCGCCGCCAGCACCGTCATAGGTAAGTAGGTCGCGCGCTAGCACAGGCGCAGCGTGACGCCCGTATGGCACACAGCTTTCATCGCTCTTGCGAGCCCGTTAAAAAAAAATTACCCTTTTTCTGCACCGCGAATGGGGCCCAGTCGGGAAACGCTTTCATGGTCGTTATCTCGTTTTTACTCTTTGAACAGCGGGAGCTAGTGGCTAACAACAACAAAAACATATTTTAGCAATGCTCCCAGTCTCTAAAACGACGTCGTCCGTCGGTGCTTTCACCCGGGTTTCTCGAACTGCCGCGCGACTTTTTCGAATGGTTCAGGAACATCAAAAGAGACAAAGCAAGTAGAGGAAAGCAGGAGCACAAAGATTTTAACTCTGTTGATGTGCATGGCCCATACATGCATAATTCATGACACAGTATTTTAATAGTTATGGTGTTCGACTGTTGACGCGAAGTTCGCGGTATCAAATCCAGAATGTGGCGGCCGCATTCTAATGGAGACAAAATACTAAACGCCGCAGTAACTAGATTCAGGTCCACGTTAAAGAACTTCAGGTGGTCTAAATTTATGAAGTCCCCACTAAGGCGTCCTTCATAATCATGATTCATATCACGGCTGCTAGACGTAAACGTCCAATCGTTATGACGAGCGCCATCTATAGATAGATGACTAGTGACGAAGCAGTCTCACGTGCTCCGCTCGGTATGACGTAGGGCTGAATTCGTTCACAGTGCCGATCACCTACATCTTTTGTAAGCTGTACGGAAATATTCAACAATGACACTTATGAAGCCTTTGAAGCTTAATGCGTATTCCAGCGATAAACGCACTTGTCGACAATGCATGCCAAAGATCTTTAAACGACTTTCAACCATGAACGCATCTTTTTTAACATTTTGCGTACGCGTGGTTGTTAGAAGTTGATTGCCCACAAGTTTTTCGCACTATTAAATACACACACACGTGATAGTTCACCTGACTGAAGAAGACGGGAACGTCATTTATTGCTTTTTAGCATAGCTGAGGGAAGGATTCTCGCTGAATTTATGTTTCTGTATGCGCACCCACCCAAGCTACAAAGTTTTAGATGTACCAACGCAACTTCTAAGTACATAAGTAACCAGAGAAACATGGCGATTCATCTCAAAACGTTCGCAAGAGCTGCTAATTTAATCGTTCTTTTTTTTTTGTGGACCAGCGGAAACAGTATGCAACAAAGCAGGCCTAAGTGTTACATGCATTTTTTTTTCAAATTAGTTGCTGCATCAAGAGTTCAGAAAACAAAATCAGAATTACACTGCTAAAAATTATGTAGTAGTAGTAGTAGTAGTAGTAGTAGTAGTAGTAGTAGTAGTATTTTTATTTACAGTAAGTCGGATACAGAGCTCACTGCAGGGGCAAAGGGCTAAAGGCGAACAGCCTGACAAAGGCCCTTGTCCCTCCGCAGTCCGTGACAGTGCAAAGAGTGCAAAGCTTAGACATCAGCACTGACAAACAATATATATATTCAATGCATTGGTTTCAAGCAACCTGAAATTGTAAACACAAAATTCAAACATAAATAGCATAAGAAGTTTACATAACACATTTTAAGAATTAGAGGTCACTCTCGTTAAAATTCACAACTAAACAATATCAATGAAACAAGTCAAAAACAGACACAAAATGCATGCGGATACAATGAGTTCCGCTGTATACACTCGTATAATTGACATAGAAGTTTATGAACAATTTAAGCATTTGCAGAGGCATGAGACTCCATTACGTAGTTTCGATAGTGTAGACCGGTGGTTATGAATAAGTTCTTTATTTGTTTCTTGAAAGTCGCACTACTAGCCCTAAAGTTCAATTGATCTGCAAGGGTATTTAAAACCTGAGGTACCTGGTAAGCAATACTTTGTTTTCCATACTTGGTTCTTGTTCTAGGAGCTCGTTTCTTTTGTTCTCGCAGACTGTAGTGTGGTCTTTCGGTGCAACTTTCTTCATATAGCTTAGTCTTTTGTATTAACTGAAGTAATTTAAAATGATATAATTGATCAATTCTGAGTATGGAATGTTTAATGAATAGTGGAGCAGTGCGCAAGTCTTGTAGATTCCCCCTGTAATTTTCAAAGCAGCGCAATATTTTCTTTTGTATAGTTATTAACTTATGGTAATTCCCTTGTGATGTCGTTCCCCAGACTAACATCCCATAACTTACTTTAGAATGGAAGAGTGCATAGTACATACTTATTTTTAACCTCAATGGGATTAAGTGCATTGTTCTAAAAAAACAACCAACTATTCGCGCTAATGCGGTGATCAGATGTCGAGTACGAAGAGCTACAGCGTCGTTGTTTCTCTTCATATTATACGATAAACTTGACAATTCTACTTGCCACAATAATGATGTTATCTCGACGCACACCGTAGTGGGTTTACAGAATGTATTTGTCGATGCTACCGATGTACATTTCTCGTCAAATTCTCGCATTCCGGCTCGTCAGTTCATAACACTGCCGGCATTAAAAAAGCGACTTGGTGTTCAGCAGTTCACTGCCATATTCACTGCCCTTCTAGTTCGTTTCTGTCTATTAAATCGCTGTCAAGTCAAAATATGTTAAGCATAGTTCATAAAGGTTTCAAAAAGAGGCTGGGGTTGTTTGCTAAAAACGGCGTGCCCTGAAGAGATCTGTTGTCACATATTTGAAAAAAAAAAAAAAAAACTGGTGCACGCAGCAGCTATGCGTCCTTCCAAGTTCGCTAAACTTTTGTAGTATGTCGTCGTCCCCCCAAAATTTGTCTTCATGGACCTCACATGCATTTCCAAAAGCCATGCTTAGTCCCATGATAAAGAAATATTACCTCAATATATTGGGCCTCTCGAGACATGATTGGCTGCTTATGGTATCCGTATAGGCTGGTTTGTACTATTAAGCGGAGCTTTTATAACTCATACTTCTCGGTGGCGGTGTCGCGCGTGAAAAACCCGGTGCCCATGAACCCACAGAAACGCGGCCATAAAATGTACGCCGACCGCATGCGCTGTTTTGCGTTAATTTTATCTTTCGATCGCGGGCTTGTCGGCGATCAACTGCTTCTGATATATAGCAATATGCTCTCTTATCAACGTGACTAGTCATTAGGTTTCTACATTATATCGTTGCTTTGATATGAACGAATGACCGTCCTTCTTGCCTGTAACAACAGTATAGGACTGCACTAATAGGCACGGGAACGAAGGTCCCATTCCCGGAAGAGCACAGAAGAGCAGTTATAGAAAAAGCATCTCCTATGGGATAGAAACAAAATTAGTACACGACACACACTCATGCAAAGAGCTTCATTTTGCTCCTACAATCCGGGTGAAGGAAGCGCTTTTGAATTGCCTTTTTTTTTTTTGCTGACACGTAAACCTCTGATCCCTGCGTAGGGTAGCGAACCGCACATTGGTCTGGTTGACGTCCTTACCTTTTTTCCTCAGCTTTCTCGCTTCGCGTAGCGAAGTCCTGCTGTCAAGTTGGAAATAGATGCGCACGTGACTTCGTGTCCCGTATATATGCACGACATCGTTTGGAAACCGAGATCGAGGAGGATGTTTCGACGTAATGCTCTTGGGGCGGACTCCGTGCCTTCGAAGGGTTCGTGGCTTGCGTTCGGCGGAAGGAAGGCATTAGCGGAACGAAGAGAAAGAATCAAACGGCAAAAGTTAAACGCTTGAAAAAGGACTCCTTTACTTTTTTTCTCCCCTTCTGTTCTTGCAGCACCTCTTTTTTAAACTCGGTTTTTGCCGATCCTACGAACTAAAACGTATCGGTTGGTGGACTTAAAATTGTAATGAGCTCTTGTTGTGTCCAACCGTGCAGACAGGGGATTCCTTTTTTTTGTTTTCTTTTTTTTACATGAACGGTGCGAGTGCGGATGTCTGCGAATCAGCGCCGTGAACGGCGCTGCCAAAAAGCGCTATTTGCGAGGTCACGTACAGACCATCTGTCGAAAAAGCGGTGTGGCTTGGAACTTTACCGGCAATGAACGGACGCTTTTAGATATTAAAATAAGTACGCCATGAAGTCGCTCCGTTGGGACGTGGGAAAGGGCGGCGTAGTAAGGCGATAAAACCTCCATTTTCTCACCTGTAATGTTAAAGAAAAACAGGTTGCAGAATCATTAATGGGCGCACCTCCTGCCACGTGTTCCATCTGAGCAGCGTGATTTCGAGATAAGATTGCAAACGTATCTGTAGCCCGACTTTAGCCGGTCCCCACATACGTAATGGGTCATTACCTTTGGCACTTGCTTCTTTAGTCTCTGCATACATACCCGCCACGGTGATTTAATGATTATGGCGCTAGACTTCTGAACGCAAAGATCCCGGCATTGAATATCAGCCACGGCGGCTGTGATTCGATGGAGGCTGTACATGCTAGCGGTTAGTTTACTTAACTTTAGGTGCTCATGAAAAAAAAAAAAGGGTGGTATAAATTCTCGGAGTCTGTAGTAACCGCATTTTGGTTTTTTAAGGTATATAAAACCCTGGGAAAAAACGCAACACGCCATAACGTTTGGCGCTGCCTTATTTAGCATGCATACACTCACACACTCTCACTACGCCTATACTTTCATAGCGAAAAGTCTTGCGCCATTGTTTACTTTCGTGTTTTCTTTGCACGCCTGTATATGCAGAGAAATACCAGAAATTCCGGGCTCGCATTGTCTGGCGTTTTAACTAGCGAGCGTCTCACTTATTGCTTCCGCCGCCTCGTGCTGTGCGCTTTAAAACCCGCTCTTATACTCCATAGGCGATATTTAGCGAAGCGGCACCATTGTTTAACAAGCTGCTCCCGCGTCGCCCGCCTAGAGTACGGCACCCGGCCGATATATCTGGTGCAGCATACAAAGTAGCGCTGATGAACTTGGTGTGGGTGTCTTGCCAAGGTCGAACTAAGGGCGGCTCTTAACGGATAGAAATCTCGTCCGGAAAACATTCGCTACATACACGAATGCTTGAGAGTAAGACCTTATCTTCATTTCACGACGTCGT